TATCCCCGAGAATGGCCACCCGGCCAGAAAAGAGCCTGGGAACTGGAAACGTGCTTCGACCTCCAGACAACAAGGTCCTCAACCTGAACGCACCCGTAAACCTGGGAAAATAATAACGGTTCGTGACGACTCTCTCATAATCATGAACCTTAAAGAGAGCCCTGACCTTCCCCTTAGTTTATGGGACAAAAATGACAGGATGTTCGGGAGTGAATTGAACAAGAAACTTGAACTTCCTAGATTAGAGCCTTTGACGGTCACATGGCTTACTCGTGGAAAGGAATCTAAGCATCAAAATCATCCGAGGCTACTTCGTGTAACACTTAGGAATGCAACCGACGTAGAGGATGCCCTGCTAGCTAGTCATTTACTGAAATCCGATGGGAACGTAAGAATACTTCCTGACATACCGTATTGTGAGCACAATCTCATCAGGAACATCCCTAAGGAATCTAGCGAGAAGTTTTTCCGCGGAAGAAATATCATTGTGCAAGGTTTATCGGAAAACACGAACTCTAGTCAAGCAAACTCTGATATTAGTGAATAAAAATTCGTCGAGCAGTCCTTGAGGCTCAATAACGTACTGACTCAACAAGTGATGAGACTGGCCAAGAAGGACAGTGATTCCAGACCCCGGCTGATGAAGACAACTTTCCCATCCTCCCGTATGGCGGTTTCAACTATGGAAGCATTTCGTGCCAACAGACGTCGGTTGCCAACGGCAATCCATATGCACTCGGATAGGCCACAGGACGCCAGGACCAAACACAAAGGCTGACCATTCCACTTGTGGACTGTCACGATGATAAAAAACGTGTAAACGACAGAGCCTACCAACTCGGCAAACCTCATTTAGGTAGGCTACCTGTCCACTCACGTAAGGCTCATAAATACAAACAGGAAGGAGCTCACGCGCTTCAAATTGAAAGCATATACCGCTTATACATGAACGTTGCGAGTCTACCAAACAAAATGGATGAGCTACGCGAACTTGGCAATACTAATAAGGCTCATCTTATAGGAATAACTGAAACGTGGATATCTTCTCAGTTCTCGGATCAGAAGTTAGCAGTACCTGGAATGTCTTTGTTTCGCAACGACAGAAAATCAGGAATTGGGGGTGGAGTAGCCGTGTACATACGATCTTGCTTGGAGGTACACCAAGTTCACAACCTCCAGTTTAACAATCTCAATGAATCCGTATGGTGCTCAGTAAGATTGTCTACCACCTCGAAGTTTCTAGTTGAAGTCATCTACAGGAAGTCAACCGCTAATATAGAGTATGACGACAGAATGTTAGAAGGATTACCCCACTCCACTCGTCTCGGATTCACTCACCCAGGAGTCCTTAAAGAGGAAACCCGACAGATGCTTGAGGACTAAGTATGGTTTCTTACTATGATTTACAAATCTCTTTTACTTCTTTCATCGTTAATGTGCCTGTGTTCCTGCATGGAAGCATTGGTGATCCATTTCTACTATACACAGAAGGCGTGAAGCAAAAGTTTCTTCTTTTCCGTTCAAAACTATTGGAACCATTTGAATACGTAATTTCCATCTGTAAACCTCCTAGAAGCTATGATGGGTAGTTTATTTATCTCTCTAATAGCTACATGTCGAAACCTCAGGCACAGACACAAAAGCCAAGACTTTATATCTTATTGATAAGGTTGTTGGTTGATAAATCTAGTTGACAATTTATCTTCATGGAGCGCGTTATCTCAAATGGCCGAGATTTCAAATCGCAAGGATGTCATCAGATTTTACGATGAGGCTGCACGCAATGATGAAAATAATTCCCATATCAAGAGGAGAGAAACTCGTATATTTTATCTGAGGAACTTTAACAACTGGATGAAAAGCGTTTTCATCAGTAAGAGTCTTCAAAGCTTAGATGTTCCCTCCAATCGTGCTCGAATATTAGATCTGTGCTGTGGTAAGGGTGGGGACCAGTTAAAGTGGTTACGCGGCGGTGTTCAACATGTTACTTTTGTGGATCTATCCAATGAATCTATTGAGGTTTGTCGTCATCGGTATGAACAACTGTGTAGAAATAAACGGTCTGTTTTCACTGCAGACTTTTTCGTGGCGGACTGCTCAGAAGCTGTACTTCCACAAGTGCTTCCATCTGGTGTCTTATATGATCTAGTCAGTTGTCAATTCGCACTTCACTATGCTTTCGAGAGCATAACCCAGGTAATTTACTAATTTGTTTTCTAGAAATTTTGGTCTATATCATCCACCTCAAACTATTATGTCAAGTGTGTTATGATATCACAGTAATTTAGTGAGCTCCAAGTAATCCATCCAGAATCGCGTTTTTATTATACTGATTCAGCGATACTTTTCATATTTGCGAGTTAAACAGACTTTGTCTTCAGTAGTTTGCACTTACAGATAGCAGATCTCTGATACTTTATTGTACAGAGTATGAGAATTCATCAAAGTCTTTTCATTAGCTGTTGTACACTTCACCGAGGAATCTTTTGAAAACTGGCTGTCTAGCAGTTATCCGTGTAAACACGTTAAGTGCTGTGCCGAGTGCTTAAAATCGTCACATGCCCACTTGAAGGACTCCACGGATGCCACTTCGACTGATAGCAAAACTCAAGTCCTAGCCATTCGTAACGTGCAAGTGTGCCTACAGTTCAACCTATTGTTCTGTACTTTTAACTTTCAAGGTTAATGTCGTAACCGAACTTAAGTAGGTCTTTTATATGATGGGCAGGGGTGTTTAGGATGTTGTGAATTGTTAGATCATCTTTATTCTACTGAGTTCAGATCCAGTGTGCCCATCTCAAGACCTGAATTTAGTACCTTGGACTGACATGTCTTTGGTCACGACTCAGAAGGCTTGTTTTCTTTAAACTGGAGTAAACACTACTTTACTCTCAATGGAGTCAAATGTAAACTTTAACGATTGAATAGGCTAATTGGTAAACTGGTCACGATGGACTCCGAAGTCAATAACGCAAGGTTTCCTCCAAGGGGACTTTTGCGACGGTCAGCACTGGATTTTAGATCATATGCTATTTAGACATTTAGATCTGTTATAACCACTGACCGTTTTAGACGAAAATTCCCTAAGTTGTATGCGCAGCAGATAAAATACCGCGGCTAATCTGCTTTACATCTCAGTGTTGATAAGTCCGATGTTGTCTACATGAACTCGGATAAGTGTCAGATTTTCCTGAAGCCCTAGCTTTTTATCCTGGCTGGAAAATATCCAAGACTACATTAGAACATTTCACAGCCTGATAAAATGCGACAGTATTTATTTATTTGAGCTTATTGACGAAACAGGTGTAGTTGACTTATCAAAAGCTTTAGGAGAATCGCACTTTCCTTTTGAGATTGGGAACGGCAGTTCATCTGTTGGTTACAGTCAGCAGATTGATAATACAGAAGTGACTTTCTGAAACTGTTGCCGAGTTGCAAAGTCAAATTAACAAGTGACGTACGCTTTCGCAAAGCAAAGGTCCCATAATTTTTGAAGATATTGTAAAGTCACCCCCCAATAATTTTGAGGGATCATTTCACTTGCCGAGTTTGAGCCGTCAGGAGTATTAAGATTAGGTTGTTTTGTATGAGACATTTAACTAATATTAGCTAACCTCATTCGTACTATCAGGAGATTGTTTACTTAATTCATAGCTTTCGGTACTAATTTCCAGTCGCTAAAAGTCAAAGGTTCGCTTTACAACCTTTGTCCCTCTAGGGCTGAGATTTAAGCTATAACGTTGAACTACTGGCATCATTGTTAATATTTAGGAAGCTTATTCGCGAAATTACCTATTTGTTATGAAGCCACATAGTGAATGATGCTAAGGTCAGTGCTAGAATCTCAAACTCTTGTGGGATCGATTTGGCAACTGTGAACTACATTCGTCGGTGTGCTACTTTCAGGACGACCGATAAAGTTTCAACGGTTGAATTTCATTTAAAGATTGTCTAGTTACCACATAGTTTCCAATGCACATTTTGATGCTTCTCATTCAGACTCGCAAGGCACTTTGAGCTAGACATTTGTCATACAGTACGATTGTGCCTATACGGGATGGTATAAGCATAGTCCAAAATGAGACTGACAACGTGACAAGGCGTTCAGACACAATCCGTCTTTTGATAATTGTTGTAACAGTCTCTATTTACCTTATAAAACAGAAATTAATTTTTTCTATATATTTACATTACTGTCTTTATAGGCACGTAGAATTTTGTCAAATATCAGCTCTCTGTTACAAGAAAATGGCTTTTTCATTGCAACGATCCCAAATGCTTACGAACTTTTGCGGAGAGCTACCGAAGCGTTAAAAAAACATGTACAAAAACAAGTTTTGGAATCTGATATTAAAGAAATTAAGTTCGGAAACCCCGTATATTCAGTCACATTTCCCGAAGCTTCATTCTCAATCAGTCGAATAACAACCCAAACGAACGATGCAGTTGAACTGACATTTCCTTTATTTGGGGCAAAGTACAACTTTTTCCTGGATGGAGTTGTGAATTGCCCTGAATTTGTAGTATACCCACCGCTCTTGGATAGATTGGCAGCTGATTACGGATTGGTACCCGTACATGAACCTATTTCTTTCGCTAAGAATTTTTATTCCACGTTACGCAATCGTTCAAGCCCACAAGACCCAAAGGATTTGCTCAAGAGAATGGAAGCTTTAGAACCATGGCATAAAAGTAATAACTATCCTTGCTCAAATGATGACGAATATATCCATCTGATAGATCATCAAAATAGTTTGCACAACAATTCATGCTCATATGGGACTCTTTCTAAATCTGATTGGGAAGTTACTTCTATGTACTCTTTGCTGGCTTATAAGAAAAAAACGAATAAAGTCTGAATCTATGCAACCTCTAATTTTCGACTGTTTTACTGTGGATAGCTATCTGTGAAACACTGCTGTCTGGAACAATGATTGTACGTCCAAAACGGCTGTTAAATTTACTAAGCGGTTTTACAATATCCGGCAAAAAAGTGAATAATATTCACAAATTATATTAAGCAAATAAGGCTGATTCGTCTTGGTCCATTTTCTCCTGTGAAGCACTGGAAATATTTTTTTTTCTTAGTTGAAGTACATCTGAGCTTACATATCTGGAGTGATCGCTGTCAGCGACAACACAATCATTGCTTCTATCATTATTGTCGAGGTATTTAGAAACTACTGGTTCGTAAACATATTTTGGAAACACTCGCCTGTACAAAGGCATTAAAGCTACATCGTTTGCTAGAATAGGTCGGTCGAAAACGCATTTCATATGACCATGAGTTCCAACAGGTTCTTTTATATGCCCAACAGCTCCGCTCTTTGTTTGCAACTGTATAGGCTGAAATGAAAAGTAAAACACAAATTTAATACCACTCAGAATATCATTTTAAAAAGGCGACTAGCATGTTGGATACTAGGGGAATTAAAATTATTTACCAGCTGTTGAGCTGAATGATAAATCCTCTAGATCGAGGCGCTAAGTAGGAAAGGGTTTTTCAGCCCCCCCCCCCGCAATAGAGTTAGGGGATAACTGTATAGGATTACCTGGAAATGAAGCACGTCCGCTGGATTGTGGAACATATATCGGACAACTACATGACGCTGATTAATCTTGTATGGATGACCTGACAAAAAAATCCTCTTGATAATTAAATGACTGGGGTCGACTGATCTCAGAGACCCTGTTGCCACCAATTCACCGACGTATGGTGAAGATAGTTCCCCGTCTTCATCCTACAAAATAAGTAAATGCGTCAGTACTCAGTCCAGCTGTGTCAACAACAAAAATACTAGTGTATGCAGAAAAGATTTTGTAAACGCTGATGAATATTGACATTTTAATTGAGTCAAATGATAGTCTTTCAAAGTTTGATTATTCCAACAGCTGGGAAATGACCAAATGTCACATCGTATAATTTAATTGGAGGAGACTGCCATTCAGTTTATTCCCAGTTTTGCTATGGGAGGTTTCAGTTAGCTTCGATTTAGTCCAACGGGTTCCGTTCTACAGGTAATGCTTGTTACTGATTAGTTGTGAACAGATATGTTTTTACACCATATTTAGTATAGTGGTTGGGACTTTTCACGGTTTGTATTCAGTCAAGCACAATGTAGAGCCTGAGAGGAAGTCCCCATATATCAACATAACGGAGAAATTATCAACTGTTTAATCGCTAAGCGCAACTCAAGCGTGTACACTGCAACCCTTCTGTGATATACACAAAGAATCCTGATTATTTTAAGAAGTCACTGTCGTTCAAATGAACTTAGCAGTTGGTGTGACGTAGACTCCAAATTAGATACAACCTTATTATCTATTATTAACTGTGCGATATACGACTATGGGTCACTTAGCTATATTATTAACTGAAATCACATATACTTATTGACTCATAATAAGGGCCTTAAACATAAATAAATATAGATTCAGCATGTTTTAGTTCTAGCACATTGTTTGAACGTGATAAATAAAAATTAGAAGCTTGGTATGTAAAAAATGGCCAGGTTATTTTCTCTTTAATGTTTTTTCAACAAAGGAAACATGGATCTAGATGAACGTGCTACTACTATGAAACTGAAGTTTCATATTATCCCAGAATTCATACAAACTAAAGGTTGGGGTCGGATAGAAATCCAGAGTGTGAATACATACAACAGACAAAAATATTGATAGTTGAGATCATGAGTCAATTGAAGCTAGACCACTATGGAAAAGCTGGAAGCACTTGACGGCCGTTTCGTCCTACTATGGGACTCCTGATTGACTCAGGATTTCAACTATTAAAATTACTATAATATACACAAAACCCCTTCTGATATTAAACAAAAATATATCAATAAAATACCTCTGTTACTCTGATCCTAAACTGTAAAACATTAACAGGAGAATACATCACTGGTGCATAAACAGTCGCTACAGTGGAACTTTCTGAAGCAGGAAAAAACGACTCAAATTTAGCTTTTTCACGAGGATTACTTGGTGTAGAATAAATCGGAGCTGCCACAAAACGCCGAATCCCAGCCTGAAAGGTTGCAAACAGAGTATGATCACTAAGTAAGATTCAAAGTAGCAACACATCTAGAGAACCGTCAGTAATGGAAAATGAATACATCTGTAACGCTATGATCAACTTAGCCATGTCACCTAAAGTTAAACGTAACTGATAATGAATAATAAACACCCCCTTGTCACTTTGCACTTCTTAACATAGCTCCATCTATTAACGAATTATTGGGTTGTTAAGTGTTGTTTTTTTACCAGTTTTTCTTCAACCTACTCTTATGTTAACCCATATAGCGCTTCCTATTGGTCAGGGACGCCCCATCATTCGGAAACAAGAGCAACTATTACCGCTATCCTGAAGTTAATACTGAGACGATTAATTTAAAAATCTGACACGCTTTGACTCTGTTGTGAAAGACAATGTACTCGTTGCCTACAATATTTGAGTACAAATTAGTCTAATTATAAGAGATAAAAGTCCTAATGCAAATGACTCAAGTATGAAGAGTTTTTTGTAGTTCGCAAAGTTAACAAAATATTGTAACGCCGAAAATTGCGACGAGCAAATCATATACAGAAAACTATCAAACAAGGAAAGATATTTACAGATGTCGTCATCTAAAATACTTCTCATTTCAGTCAATTTTTGAAGGGAGTAATACGTTGAGGGATTCTTAAGCCCCCGAGTGTTCTGGTACGGCCGAGGGTGGGAAGGGTCCGCTTTCCCTCTCAAAATGCTCTCACATGGCCACGCGTACACAGCTACTGCCAGGGAAGTCCTACTCACTGCCTTCTCGTGGCGGGGGTGATGTTTATGAAATTGAGGGGACAAAAATCGAATGCCCGGCGCTTTAACCAGGTTGATGGATATGGAGGATCCACCTAGGGGAGTTGGAAAACGCTGATTCCAGACCAATGGTGCAAATGGGCTCCAGGATCCTGAGGGAACAGATGACGTATGAACCAATTATTGGTCACTGGTTACCATGGGACTGCATCTCCAGACGTTGCTCCGCTGCCTTGAGGATCAGACCTTTCCGTCGGAGCCCCCGGGCGTGCCCCCCTAAGGAAACCACCTGCTCCGGTTTGGGCACCCGGGCAGTACCACAGCCCACACGCAAATTAAGTGACTTGTGTGGAGCATATGTATTCGGTCTCTTTGTACCCGTATTTGTGCGTTCAAACAATAATAATAATAAAGGAAATAGTTTTATCTCAAAAAAACTTCACTACGCACAATGCGTTATCCAAGAGTTCATTAAGGGTGAAGGATTTACTCTATCCAGTGACCTACCCAAGTTACTACTCAAATGATTGCAGGTAATAATAATATTATCTTTTAACTAACGGTACTAACATTTTAACCCTCATGATTATATATAAAGTAAGTAAGGCACACATAATCATAATTCTACCTGAATAAGCATCAGATCTTTCGATTTAATTGGTTCCGCTTCAAGAGGTATAGGCATCTTTGGATCGTATAGCGCTTTTCCACTTTTTCTCCCGTCGATTTTGTAACGGTGACTAATGAGGGCATCATGTATTGATTTATCTTCTCGTTCTACCTGTGTTGAAGCCTCCTCACCAAACTCTAGTGCACAAATCCCATTATCTTTTGATGATGACTCAGTAATTTTATTTGCAGCGTTTGCAATAACCACCAAATCTGAAACAGCGTGGATAGCGGAAGCACGCCGAAACATTGTAAAATGGCAGACTGACATTTGAGTTTCGTGAGGTAAGAGTGACCAAACTATAAGTGGATGAGGTCTTGGATCAGAAGGTTTTCTGGCTTCGTTAGGTTGAGGGAACGTGTGGTGAGACAATATCGATTCACCAAGATCCCGTGAAACAGGCTGTAGCAGAAGCTCGACATCTACACCAGATGGGATGTACTTGAAGACGTTCCCTGTTGATTTATATGCTGATTGGAAGTCTGCTAATTTTTGTTCAATATAACGAATCATAGTACGCCTATTACGGTGATAGTTTCTGAAGCTTTTGGATAAACAAAAGAAGATAGTAAATAGGTCACTGATATATTTTTTGTCAACTTCAATAAAAAAATATTTCGCACTCCTAACACAATAACTTTGATGCTGCATTAAAATCAAGGTTTGTGAACTAAGATCGGGTATTTAAGGTATATAGTGATTTTGCATGCACCAGAATCAAACAACATATCTTGCAAAATGCAGTATTTATTTATTTGAACACATAATTATTGATAAAAGAGGGCACCAAATATATATACGCCACACAATGAAGTAAAATTCTGAGACAGAAACAAAGAATAGACAATCGACTGGTAGCTAATTGGTAACTCTCGTTTGGATAGAAAAATGAAATATCTAGCTCTAGAACTTTGTACATATACTAAGACGAATTCCGGACCCATTATTCCAGTCAAATATTTTCCAGCTGAAAATAACAGTTTGTGTATCTATGGTTAGATGAAAAACTTATAATAAGTAGTAGTAAACCACAAATTTAGCATACCAGGCGATATTTTGATAATGTTTGGGTAACCAATTCTTTTCAGCTGGCCACACGCTACCTTGGAAACGAGGAAGACCACAGTACTTTACAAACCGTTCACTAGCAGGTATATTTGAAGGGGTTTCAACCTGTATATAAATATATAAAGTAAATGTTTACATTCTCAATTTTGTAGAGACTGCTCCGATATACACAGGGGTAAAAATGGACATACTTAGATTCACTGGCGTAGAAGTCAGATCATTTTGAACTGAAGTAACTTTTCAAGGTATGGATTAATGAAAAATCTCACCAATCAGCTAGCTTGGTTTCAGTTCGCTACATCTACTTTCTTCTAAAGAGCGCTAATCCTCTAAGATGTTGTCGAACCTACTTCAGTGTAAATGAATTCGATAAATTACTTCAGAATGTGTCAGATTGATATCTGTTTAATAAGCTTTTTTGTTTTCTGTAAAAGTTTTGCATTTGAACTAAAGAAGTAGAATTGCGTGTACCGTTAAGAATAATGCCCTAGTAATCTCATTGACTTTTATGCTCTCCTGTGGTGTATGCTACTTATGTCCACAGACATAGGTAGTATGTGACGCATTTCGTCGTTAAGTGAAATAGAATTAGAAATTATTATTGTGTTGTTTTTTGTAAACGTTCAAAGTAAAGTAGTGACGGTTTTCAAATATAAGGTACCAGGTTTTAACAGTACATCATTTTGATCGTTCTAAAACTCAGTTGTGTTTCCAACAATCGCGCTAAATGTGCAGCCCAACGTTTGCGACAGAAACTTGTAACTGACATTGAGTAGGAGTGATAACAAGTTTAAACTGCTAATAGCCGGACATAATGTACATAACCAGTTCGCTTTAACTGTCAACAATATATGATATGGAGCAAGTTACTAAAAATGACCAATCGGGTAGATGGATTGCTGACGAATTGTTAGATTCCTGATATGATTGTAACTATTTTGTTAGCAGTTTACGAGTGTTAAAAGTACATCAGCTTAGAAATAAGGAAACATTACCTCATCCGGAAACATTTCTTCCATTCTGGCAGCCCGGAATTTTGCTAACTGAGCAGATGAGAACGTAGAGGTAGCGCTGGCTGCCATTGTATGAGCGGTATGACTTGCTATCGAAGCACATTCTATATCAGAATTTCCAGATAACTCAGATTCTAAATGATCAGATATCGCTTCCGATGCATTCCATTGGTTTTCACTTGTTGACTCCCGTGAATCATCAACAGACATTTCATCTGACAGAGAGTCCTCCTCACAATCTTCATTCTCTAGGATGAATATCAGCAACGAGAGGATATGGGGATGTGATTAACTTAGGGAACGATGGAACCGCGGTTCAATATTACAAAAGTTAACGGAAATTTAAGATGCGGTGTAAAATGGCATACATAATAACCAGCATAACATTGAATCCGAGAAATTAAAGACGTAAAACACAAGTAGCTTGATCGAATTCCATCCTAATAATATAAAGTTTAAAAACAAACTAAACATACGTGAATAAAAATCTAAATCTTTAGCTTTTCTAGGGTTACTGTTGGTAACAAATCTTGACAAAGAGCTGTGTATGGGGTTGGCAACCCAATCCAGTGGAAAACAACTTTGCTAAGAAAGATCACTAAAAGACATCATTTTGACCACTTAAAGTCTGAACTGGCAGTTGGAGAACCGAGATTAAAAAGAATTACGAATCCTCAGGCTGAAAACCGAGATTCTTCAGAAGTCACGAGGTAATATGGTCTATTTGAGTCCATCGTTGGTTTGGTGCAGACGGTCGCCATGTTAGACGATGTCTCTCCTTATGTCTAAAAATTGTGATTGCTAAAAATAAACGATTGTCTGAGCACAGTTGCAGCAGACGATCACCATTATCTATTCGTTGTGCTGGAATACTAAAATACCCACCTAAACGCCTTTCTGTTTGGTTTAAACTATCTATCTGAGCATTTAAGTCACCTGCTGCAAGTACTATGTCTGAGCGTTTAGCTTTCTGAAGAAGTTCAGAAAGCTTTCTGTAAAATTTATCTTTCACATCATCTGAGCTGCAGTCAGTGGGAGCGTAGGCAGAAACGACAAAGAGACAACGACGTGTGTCCCTATCATTCTGAGTTATTACGGAGCCGTTTAGCCGAACAGCACATAAACGACTGTTGACGGGGATCCACTCTAACAGTGCTTGTTCCGCTCTCATGCTTAGTGCTATCCCTACTCCTGCCAGTTCACGAGAGCTGGCCGTCGGGTCAACAGATACACGGAGGGTGTATCTCGTTGGCTCTCCGTTTTGCCGAGGTGAGTTCAAGTGAATGATCACACTGGGATCATGTATGCGTGTTTCAGAGGCACAGCATACACCAATGGTACGAGATTCTAGGGTTCTAGCCAAGGAAGCCTGTTGACCGATTTGACATAGGGTGCGTAATTTGAAGGCTCCAATGTATAGTTTGGAGCGAGGTTTTAGTAGACCTGGGACAGTGTTTTCAGCACTAGAATCGTTGGCTGTGGTGATACTTGAGGGGGAAGCCGAAAAGGGAAGTTTAGAGGTGAAAGTCGATGTAGGGGCAATAATAGGAAGTGAAGACGGAGGTTGATTATGAATTCACTGGTCTTGAGTGCTGTTAGTAGTATGAGGGCAGTTATCACTTCCCGGTTGCCCACACCGTGGAAGGGTTCTTCTGGAGGTACCTGAAAAGGAAATTGGATTAGAGGTGGTCTTAGTGACCTGGGAGCGTAACCGCAGTGCCCAAGGGACAACTGCTTGAGGTCGGTCACACACGACCTTTTTGTGGGTAATTTTCGTTCTAGCTCTGTACTTGTTGAGACCTTACCGCCGGAGATGGTTATCCGTGGGATAAGGTGAGGTGTGCATTGTTAGGGTAGACCTTTTCTAACCCTACCCCTCCTTGTGGGAAGGCAGCATCGCTGTCATGCTGGTTGTCTGAAGGAAACACCTAACTGCTGTCACACCTATGTACAGTCGGCAGTACAACTTCACCTTCAGACCTTCGGTTTGTTGGTTTTAGTCTTACCGCTCTTCAACTGACATGTCTGGCACGGTAGGATCTTGAGGAACGATTGTTCCAGCCAATATAGTTCGGTTGCTTTATCACGATAAGCAAGCCCGACCGCCACGTTAAGGTACCAACAACGGTCGGGAAACTTTTTCCACTGTGATCGCTATGTCTTCCACGTATTTCTGCTTGTCAGCTCTAATTACCCTCTTGTTTAACTGTTAGTTGCTGTCTTGTTCTTCCTTTCATTAATCTTGGATATGGTATCAGTAGAGATCTACTCTTTATGCTGGTGCTTCTTGCTGCCCAAAATCTCCTGATACGTTGAAGTCAATGATTCTTTAATCCCGTTCCAGTTACTCTCCATAGGAGTTTCCTCCTTGTTGAGTAGATCTTGTAAGGCTTGGAACCTAAATTTTCGGGGATTGATCTACCAGGAGGTCTACTTATCGACTTAAAATACTCAGATGGCATAGTCCTGTTTGGTGAAGACGCTGATAAAATGCAGTCTTCTGGTGGCACTAAGCAACAATGCCAGAATATTTGGAATGAGCTTCTCTCTTTCTAAATGCAAGTTGTTGCTTCAAGACTGGTCTGTATCAACACCTTAACTAAGGATAGGCAGTGAAATAGTCGAACGCATCGACAACTTCACTTATGTTGGAAGTCTGGTCAGCCCTAGTATGTTGGTGTCTGACGAAATCTCAGCACGGATTCGAAAAGCTCACTTAGACTTTTGCCAACTTACTTCACCCATGGCGAAGGCGAGATGTCCGTCTATCAATTAAGGGACGAGTATACTGCGCGTCAGTTCGTTCGGTTCTACTTTACGGCTGCGAAACGTGACCGTTAAGAGTTGAAGATATTAGTAAACTACTAGTATTTGATCACGGATGCCCTAGAAATATTGCTCGCATCTTCTGGGATCATCGGGTAAGTACTAGTGAGGTTAGACGTAGGATATTAGGGAACTGTGGTAAATCAGTTGATGAGGTTGTGAACCTTCATCGACTGAGATGGTTAGGCCACGTGTTACGTATGCTTGAACACCAATTACCACGACGCGCAATGCTAACCGGTGTTGGGGATGGTTGGGAGAAAGTTAGGAGCGGCCAAACCAAAACGTGGCATCAGTGCTTGAAGTCACTAACTTCTGGTCTGAGTCATGTTGGTAGATGAAGTCTAGTTGGTTGGTGTGCGCTTGACTAATGTAACCAATGGTTGGAGACTCTGGGTGACATGGCTCAGAATCGATCACAATGGCGTAGGTGTATACACTCTTTGTCTTCTCTTAAACTATGAGATTAAAATTATGTCATATCTTTCTTTCTACGGACTAATTCTTTCTTCCTGTACTATGTCCTGATATGATACCTTTCTTTTATGTGTTACCACCACTAATTCTATGAAAGTGGTGTTTGTCTTGTTGTGCTAATGAGGTGTGGCAACTTGGACCGGTGCATGTATGTGTCTGGTCCTACGTTGTAACTGACTGACTGGAAAAAGATGCAAGTTAAGGAAGTATGAGAAAACTGTATGATACAAAGCATGATTTAAAATATTTTCCTCTCAAGTATACTACGACAATAAGTTATACGATAATGAGACTAGTCACATCATATCAGATCAAGAATTTACGACCCAGAACAGAGAACCAGGTTAACACTAGTTAATACTCAATTCAACACAGTTACTGAAAATCCCACTCAGTGAAACCAGAGTATAAATTATTGAGAGGAACGGAAATCACATATTTAATCGTCAGTAGTCTAAGCGTCTGTTTGTCCACGCTCAGTGACCAATCATATTTTGCTATCACTACCACATATCACTATACGACACAACGAAGGGAACCATTCAAGAAAGAACGCAAACCATTCATTGATTCAAGAACAGAGGGACAGGTGGGTGGGCTACTATGGTGAACTCTCACATAGGCCAGCCTCACTGAATTCACCGTAAATAAAAGCAACATCTACAGACCTTTCTATGGATGTCACTATACCAACAGTCGAAGAAATAGACATGGCTATCGGACAAATCAAGAATGGGAAAGGAGTAAGACTTGGTAAAACTGTTATTGTTATCGGAAGAACATTTGAAAGTGGAAACATTGTAGAAACACATAACTTTAGTACTTTTGCCACTTAGCAAGATTGTATTGTAAAGGATAACATGAAACTCACGTATTTCTGGAAGAATTTACTGGAATGGGTTTTGTTTGTGCCTACGAAACAAGTAGTTTTATGGTATTTCTTCTATATGGCTTTAATTGTAAGTTGTTTTTTGATCCATTTATTGTTGCTAATTTTTACTGGTCATAAACAAAGGGCAAAATCAACCATGAGTGTAGAAATTCTCTACATATCAAAAATGTTTTAATAATGTTTGTTTACTGTTCCAACACTCGAAATACATAACCACGTTGGTGGTAGATCTAAACTTTACGAAGCAGTGACTTATTTAACTTTTCTGGTGTTCTGATTGCAAGGTTGTTAGAGGGTAAATTTAGCGTGGGTTATCGATCTTCAGCGTATATGGCACTAAACTTAATTGACTAAATGTTATTGGTGTTGGAAAATTAATACCAATACTTATATCAAGTATCATTACACTGGATTGAAAAAGAAACGTTTGAATGTTTAAGAAATCGTGGAAAGTCCTTGCGGATGAATTAATCTAACAATGTACATATACTAGTTACTTAGTTTAAACAGAAGAGGAACTATTTAAAGAAAACTTTTGGCAAACAACATGCTTTTAAACTTACCGTTTGTGAGATTGACTGACGTAGATGGAGGTATGTATTTTGTTGATATATTTTCAACGGTGTTAAGATCTGAGATCTGCCACGTCTGTTGTAAGTGATAGTTATCAATCCATTTAGCCTCTATCAAAGGAAAATCACCCCAACCAGTCAAATGCACATGAGGGCCAACGAGTACAGAACCATTTTGCTCCAACTCCTCGAACAAAATCAATGGCGCTCCATGTAGGCGGCCACGAAGACAGACTGATACCTCGGATTTTGTGATATCGTCATGAGCATCTACATTTTGCAAGTTTGAATGAAAGTACTGTTTATTTTCTGAACCTTGTGTACAAGTTGAATAATTTATTGGGTCACCCCATAGTTTAATGGAAAATAATAATTATTGAAACAACCATGAGTAATGAATTGTTCAGCGAAAAATACATTTGAATAATCCTACTGTTCTGTTTAAAGTAGGCAGACAGAATTTACATGAATGATCTAATAACTGAAATCTAATAAAAAAATGTAGTTGGTCCAGAAAGCGAACAGTGGAAACGATTGTAAATCGATGCGGTTATTTACTTTGATAGTAGATATATGTAACTAATCAAATGCAGTGAAAATATTCAAGATGACGGACGCCAGTTTAATCAAATTACGTTACAGGTTGTAGCTTTGTGAAAGAACCGTAGTCAAAAATCTATTTAACAATAAAAGTTAAAATAACTACATGATCAAATAATTTGTACTCTTGGTGGCTTGCGTAAAACACACCTGACGAACTGTGAGTAAAAACTAACTTACGAGTGAAATAAAAACTTACTATTTTTAGATATTAGTTCAATAGAGTCAACAAGTAAGCGCGTTCGGTAGCGTGCTCCAGTATGCGCCACTGTAGACTGTCCAGCCACTTTTGCATTCTTTCCCTTAACATGGAAACTTGACGGGTTGGTTGAGGCAATATGCCGTAGGAGGTTTAGAGCATTGGCGCTTGAATTTAGTTGGTGAATCGTCGATTCGGGGACTGGAAACCTATACTTTTAGTCAAAATAAAAAACATCCAGTAACATCACAAAATGAAGTTAGAATTCATGAAGACTAGGCTGTTACTCAGATTATTAGATGCAGTCAAAAATCGATGTTTAATAATCAAAATTACTGGGCCCACTTTCACGTATAAATTGCTTGAAAACAGTTAAATACAATCTGAATCTACGCAGATAGTTTCCAAAAAGAATACTGTTAGCATATATGGTTACTTTGCCACATAGAAGCGGGTTATGTGTACCTCACCGAAAATAGTTCTACAGACTTTAAAAGAATGTTTGATGACCTACATCGTTATCAGACAAATCAGTCGAAAATAATTCAGTCAAAAGTCTGGTCGTAGGTCCAGTTTGTGTAACCTTGGGTGAACACGCACATAACCATATCAATGCAATTAATGTATATAATAATGAAGACTCCCTATTTTTATTAATCGACAAAGTTTGATGTTCAACAAAAATTAACTCAGAATTCTTTCGAAACTTTAAGACAAATGTATGGCATGTAAAGTTTTAATAAAAAAACATTAGGCAATCGAATTACCTCCAGAATCTGTTTTAACTCTTTAAGATTTGAATTGGAAGAAAGAACCGCATAGGAAGCATTTGTAAAACCTTGAGCATATATGGCAGTGAGTAACTCATGAACAGAATCAGGAATTTCTGAGGGATTACTTGGAACTAAAAGAATAAGCCAGTCTGCGAAATTGGCGAGATCAAGACAACCAAAAAGATCATCACTGTAAGCACAAATGAGATTAAAGTATTTATTGAGGATTTGAGAGCGAATAGTGACTACATTTTGCAAACAATCTGGTTTTTTTATAACCTCAGTATTTGGTTCACACGTTTGAAATAAAAGTTGGGCTAAGTGTGTAGGTATTGAGGACGATAAAGGAATCAATACGCAGGCTATAGGATTTCCCTTAGTCCCACGAGATGCTTCGAGATTTTTTACCTATGACAATAGGAAGTAAAGCTTTTTAACAAACCTCTAATCTCTTTTGTATGCGGAGTTGCTTGGAGAGTAAGCGCCGTTGGTCCTTATTCAGTATCTATAATGGTAAACAAAAATTTTAATGAATTTAAACGAACCACATGAAGCTGGTGCTTCAACGTTGTGGATCTATTAAACAATGTAATTCTGGACTTCAGCATCGTTCACATAAACTTACATTTATCAGGTTTTTAGACATATAACTGGGCTGATTTCCATTGTTGATTGTTTTGATCTATTAGAGAGAGTAGTTCTTTTGTGATGACTAAGTTTGAGAATAACATTCGTCCCTAAAGTCTACGCACTAATAATAAATACGCTAGAAAATCCCCTATAGTGTTAAATTCTTGAACACAAATTCAAAAGAAGTCATATACTTCTTGCTGAGAGGAATGTCCAGTAAGTATATAACACTACTCAAATTGTATATAATTAGTTGATATTCATGAACAGTTTAAACACAATCTTATGAAAAAAAGCAACGAGAATTATAAGTTAGAGGAAAATACCAAACAATATCTACTGTTTATTTTTATTTATCTTTGTGATATGTGCTTAAGAAAGCAATAATTTTGTTTCCAAAACCTTTAGGGATCGATCTCGTACTTACAGATTTTATTATATATGTATGAACCGTTCTTTAGTATTGTGTGATAGTATATGAAAATAATCTCTAAGTGAGAAAATGGACGGATTAATTTGACAGTAGACTAGAAAACAAAATTTGATGGGAAAATGGTGAAGTCAGAAAAAAAGCCTCAAAAAGTACTCTCGAAACCACATAAACGAAAACATATTTTGGAAATTCTAAGAACCTAATAACAGACAATCGACCAAACTAATGACTAAATTTACGGCCAGATTTTTTACCTGATTACTACAACGTCTTTAAGTAGACAGAAAAAGACACGCTAGTTTCAATTGCCTGTCATGATACAGTATTGACTTTCAGATCTCTATATGTAAAACATCAGCAACATTAGTGTTATCACATAAAGATGAGAAACCTGACTCGGTAAAAACTGAGTACGGTAGAATTGGTTAGTGGTTGTTATTTGTTGTCAATTATTCGTTCTGTATTTATATGTAAACCACTTCTATCATCAAAAGCATTGTCGATTTTTTATCTTACTGTAGAATGTTTTACAATACCTGTAAATCAAATTATATTCATGTTGGCATACAGTCTTCGGAATGAGAAACCAGCTAAGGGTAGTAATATTTACATTGTGAATACATGCACTAACACGTTTACTACGTGGCAGTCACTATACCTCCCAGAAAACTGCTTACGTGATCTATTTACAATATAGTTTCAAGTATCAAAATACGTAGCATAACGTAGGGTTTTTTGGATCATTAATTATTTAAAAACGACACCAATTCTGTGACATTACCACTGAGTCTAGTACTAATTAGTACAAAAATAAATTTTTATTTGACAAAATAATTATTACTCTGATCCAATAACACTGGCATAATACCTTGTTTTTTGTTACGCGGTGTGGCTTTGGGTTTTTATCGGAAGATTTCCTAGCTCCTTTATGCTTTTTATTCTGCTGTTTCAGAGGCCCACTACGATGCGGTGCACGAGCCATCGACTCGTTAGAAATCAAAATAATGACCAGGGTTTACAACGTTCAATAAAATATGAACTTACGTAACTGAAATAATAATTGAAAAGCTATACAGACTACTTTACGAATAATTGATCACGACGCTTTCCGTTTTCTACCACTTAAAAATATAACGGTAACCAAAACAGTTTTATCATAAGATTTCAAACTTTGAAATTTATTGCGCAAAAAACCGAACCGAAGTCATCACACAATCAAGTACTCGGTTGTGAAAAAATACTTTCCAATGATATACAGTATTAGTAAACTTCCTGCTACTTCTTTCGGAGCCAAAGACCATGTAAAGATCAAGTAAACTTAAGTCCTGGTGTAACCGGTAAAAGTCTTGTTGTAGGCGACTTTACTTACTTACTTACTTACGCCTGTTACTCCTCGTGAAGGAGCATAGGCCGCTCACCAGCATTCTCCATCCAACCCTGTCCTGGGAAATCTTTTCTAGCTCCGTCCATTTGTAATTCATCCTTTTCATATCTGCTTCTATTATCCTACGTAATGTGTTCTTAGGCCTTCCTCTTTTCCGTTTCCCTTCAAGATTCCAAGTTAGGGCTTGTCTCGTGACGCAGTTTGATGATTTGCGTAATGTATGTCCTATCCATTTCCATCGTCTTTTCCTAATTTCTTCTTCAGCTGGAAGTTGGTTTGTTCTCTCCCACAGGAGGCTATTGCTGATGATATCCGACCAATGGATGTTGAGTATCTTGCGAAGACAGCTATTTATAAATACTTGTACCTTTTTGATGATGGTTGTTGTAGTTCTCCAAGTTTCAGCTCCATACAGTAGAACTGCCTTGACGTTGGTATTGAAGATTCTCACTTTGATATTGGTTGAAAGTTGTTTTGAGCTCCATATGTTCTTTAACTGTAGGAATGCTGTCCTTGCTTTGCCAATCCTTGCCTTTACGTCTGCATCTGAGCCTCCTTGTTCATCGATGATGCTTCTTAGATATGTGAAGTATTCTACATCTTCCAGAGTTTCGCCATCAAGAGTGATTGGATTGCTGTTCTCCGCCTTGAATTTGAGGACCTTGGTTTTCCCTTTGTGTATGCTGAGGCCTACTGATGCAGAGACTGCTGCCACACTGGCTGTCCTTGTCTGCATCTGTTCGTGTGTATGCGATAGGAGGGCTAGGTCATCTGCGAAGTCCAAATCGTCTAATTGATTTCGAGCTGTCCATTGAATTCCGTGTTTTCCTTCAGATGTCGAGGTCCTCATAATCCAGTCGACCACCAGAAGAAAGAGGAAGGTAGAGAGTAAACAGCCTTGTCTGATTCTGGTCCTTACTTGGAATGCATCTGTCAGCTGTCCACCATGCACGACTTTGCACTGTAGTCCGTCTTATGAGTTCAGGATAATATTGACAATCTTCTCAGGAACTCCGTAGTGTCGTAGAAGTTTCCATAATGTCCTCTACACTATCGAATGCTTTTTCATAATCAATAAAGTTGATGTATAGTGATGAGTTCCACTCAACTGATTGTTCGACGATGATCCGTAGTGTTGCAATTTGGTCTGTGCATGATCGATCCTTACGGAATCCAGCTTGTTGATCTCGAAGTTGGGCGTCTACTGCATCTTTCATCCGGTTCAGCGACACTCTGTTAAAGACCTTCCCTGGTATTGACAGCAGTGTAATGCCTCTGTAGTTTCCACATTTGCTCATATCTCCTTTCTTTGGAATCTTGATGAGGTGTCCTTCTTTCCAGTCCATCGGCACTTGTTCCTCCTCTCAAATCTTTTTGAATAGAAGGTAAAGCATGTTTGTAGTTGCTTCGACGTCTGACTTCAGTGCTTCAGCCGGTATGTTGTCCGGACCCGCTGCTTTCCCGTTCTTGATTTGTCTGACGGCCATTCACATTTCTTCCTTCGTTGGTGAGTTGACGTCTATGGGAAGATCTGTGTGTGCCGCTTCGATGTGGTGACTTTAATGCACCACATATAAACTGGGTTAACTTAGAAGTAGGGTCATCCATATCGTCGTTCGACTGCAAACTGTTAGAAATCTCGATTGGATTAGCATTATTCCAGCACATTAGAGATCCCACAAGGTACGACTTAAGAAACTCTTCCTCTCTTTTAGATTTAACCTTCACACACGGTGATGACGTTGGTCAAATGGCTTTTCTCCCACCACTTGGGAGAAGTGTTCATGCAGTCATCTTATTCAAATTCATGGCTGAGATTGCCTGTCAAACAGTTGCACCGGCCCGTCCCAACATATGGAAGGCAGATATGCGGGCAATTAACTCTGCAGCATCGGCTGAACGCTGGTAAATTGACTCAAAAGCATCAGTACAAGAGGCTGGACTCTATTCAGGCAGTTATACAATCGGGTAACTCAACCATACATATCCTGAACCATCCCAAAGAAAAAGAAGCACGGACATCCCTGGATAGGGTGGGATATTCGACGTTTACTAAGACAAAAGTAGAAATGCTGGGACGTCGCCATCCGCCTTGGCACAGCAGGTACGATGGAACTCTACAGATCGATAAGAAACGAGTGTATAGCAAAAATTCGGGAAGCTCAAAGAAAATATGAAATGCAGTTGGCACAATTTGCACTCAAGCAGCCCAAGAGAATATTCTTGTACATAAACTACAGAACAAGGATGCATCATTGGATTAACAACCTAATTAAAGTAGGAAGTGAATCCGAAATGATAGAGGAAGATCGGGAAGAAGCAGAGGCTATGGCTGACTATTTTGTAGCAGTTTTCACTCAGGAACCTCCTCTAGAGAAAGAAACAGACCTAAATACAGATTCGACAAACCAGCTGTTCACCGTGAACTTCGACCACAACGATGTGCTTAAGGCTCTTAGCACCCTAAACATGGAGAAGTCAACAGGACCAGATGAACTACACCCCAAAATCTTGAAACATGTTGCCCAATATATCGCAGCCCCACTGACTGTGATATTCAATATGTCACTTGACCAAAGTGTGTTACCTATAGACGCAATCGTCACTCCCATACATAAAACAGGTCCACAACAAGTTCCATCGGATTACAGACCCATAAGTCTCACCAGTGTTGTAATTAAAATACTAGAAAGAATAATCAAAAGGACCATAACGGCATTTAAGGAAACCAATAACTTGCTGAACATGGCACATCATGGTTTTAGAAAGGGTCTATCCTGTAAAACGAACCTCCTTATAGCAAGGGAGTTCTGGATTAATGCGCTAGACAATGGAAACTTGGTGGATGTTGTCTACAAAGATTTCGGTAAGGCTTTTAACAAGGTGTCAACTAATAGACTGCTATTGAAGTTGGAAAACCTTGGTATTTCCATACCTCTTTTAAAATGGATTAAAGATTTCCTAGTAGGTCGTAGACAAAATGTAAGAATAAATTCCAAATGATCCATCTAGAGACCAGTACTTAGTGGAGTACCCCAAGGTTCCGTCCTAGGTCCTTTACTTTTTATAATGTACGTTAATGATCTTACATGTATAGTACAGTCTCCAATGTTATTATACGCTGACGATGTAAAAATTTGGCGAGTAGTAACTGGAGACAAAGACGCATTTACTCTTCAGGCAAACTTATATAATTTGATAAACTGGTCTAAAGAGTGGCTGATGCCTATCAACGCGGAAAAGTGTGTCTACATGCACTTGGGGGATTTAAAGGTTATTAGGTACAACATAGGGGATGTGTCATTACCAGTAGTTCGGTCTCATAAGGATCTAGGGGTGACAGTGAGCAATGATCTTAAGACGACGGCCCATTGACGAGAGGTCGCACCTAAGTGGTTTTGAACCCTCTGGGCTTTAAAAAGGACATTCACTAAGTTAGATACTACCATGTTCACCACAGTAAACACATCTTCAGTGAGAACTAAGTTAGAGAACTGCACTCAGTCTGCAAGCCCCTGTGTAAAAGGTGACTCGGACATACTAGAAAAAGTACAGAGGGCAGCTACCCGTGCAATTCTGGAACTCCGGGGTTTATCATACAAAGAGCGGCCTGAAGAACTGGACCACATTACTCTGTCCTATCGCAGACGAAGGAGAGATCTAATTTGAATGTACAAAATACTGAGAAATGGTTTCGGACCTAACTTATTCTCTCTCTTTTTTCCCACAAGATCGGGACACCTTAGAGGATGTAGCAGGCGAGTAGAAATGACAAGAACGAACAAAATACCTGTGGCATACAGGTATTCACACTGCGTCATCAAAACTTGGAACCTGCTGCCTGAAGCAGTAATGTCCGCACCTTCAATTAGCTATATCAAGAGAAAACTGGACACTCACAGAAGCATACTAAAAAAGGAATAACATAGGCCATAGGCCTTCTGTCCTTACTAAACAAATCTGAAATCTGAATCTAAATGAATTCGCAAAATAAATAGCTTTGTAACTATTCGACATTAGATGGTTTTAATGGACTCACCTAGCCGAAGGCGCTCGGTCATGCATCCGCACCTGATCACGAGTGGCAACGTCGTGATCAGTTTAGATCGACCGATCCTCGATATGTTGACAGACTATCAAATATATCTTCGAACCTCCTCGCTTCTGTCTTTTGATTTCACTAGGTGGGTACGCTTCATATTAGACGTTACTGGTCAAAGCGTTGTCAAACTCCAAATATCTGTGGCATCTTCATTGGCTAGCCCAACGTAATCTGGTACACCAAATTGAAGACTGTGAATCTTTTCCTTTTCGGAATTCGGTATATTATTTCCTTGTATTAATTTTTTTATATATTGTGATATCTTTTCCCGTGTTTTTGATATATATATATTTCACTCGTTCATTCTCGTACTTGATATTGAATCATGACGGAACAGACACCCAAGGTACTTAAGTTAAGGACTATGTCCCCATCTTCGTTCCAACTGATGCCCTTCTCGCCAGACAACATCGAAGCCTGGTTCTGTTACGCAGAAGCCGACTTCTACGAGCACAGCGTGAACGACACATGTGCACAATTCCTCGCAGTAGTAAACGCACTACCACGCGAATTCAACAGG